GTTCATCAAGATTGATAGTTATTCTCAATAGGTTTTGATGGATTTCCATTTGATATCAGGAGCTCCGGTTGAGTGATCAAGGGAAGAAGAAGAAAATCACAATGGCAGTGAATTATGTAAATGGGAGTTTTGCAGCAAGTCTTCCACTTTTAAAAGTTGATAACTATGAGAATAGGTGCAAACAGATGAAAGTTATAGTATTCTTTTATCAAGGTCTTTGGAATCTTGTAAAAGATGGGTTAGAACCACTTGATGAAGATCCTTCAGATGATGAAAAGACTGAACACAGAGAATTGGAGAAGAAGAATTATAAAGCTCTCTTTATAAATCACAAATGTGTTAGTCCAGAAAATTTTGAAAAGGTTAGTGATTTAAAATCTACAAAAGAAGTCTGGGAGATTCTTGAGAAATCCTTTGGAGGTGCAGAAAAGGTGAGGTTACAAACTCACAAAAGAATGTATGAGTTGGTTCAGATGGAAGATAACGAGAGCATATATGATTTCTTTACTAGGGTTACAAAAATAGTGAATCAACTCAAGATATGTGGAGAAACGTTAATAACCAGAGCATTTGTTGCAAAGATCTTGAGATCTTTGGCCCTTAAGTTCGACCATGTGGTAGTGGCTATAGAAGAGGGGAAAGATTTGTCAAAATTAACAAAGGAAGAACTTCAAGGGACACTTGAAGCTCATGAACAAAGAATTGTAGAGAGAGCTGCAAGCAAGTCGAAGAGTGATGTGACTTTGCAAGCATATTTAGCAAAATAAAGTAAAGGCAAAGGAAAGTGGTTTGACAAAGGTAGAGGTGGCTACAACAATTTGAATGGTAGAGGAAATCAGCAGGAAGGAATTGTGTCGAATCAGAGAAGGCCCTCATACCAAGGCAACCAAAGAGGTGGTGTTGGAGGTAGAGGAAGAAGTGGTGGTAAAAAATCGGACAAGAGTCACATTCAGTGTTACAATTGTCAGAAGTATGATCATTATTCTAGTGATTGTCTAGAGAAATGAAAGAATTTAGAACGTGATGCAAAGTTTGCAAAATACGAAGAAGAAGAAGAAGAAGAAGAAGAAGAAGAAGAGATGATGTTGATGGTCACAATTTGAGATGAAGAGAGATTCAAGGACCAATGGTACTTAGATTCAAAATGCTCATCACACATGTCTGGAAGGAAAGATTGGTTTGTCAGCCTAAAACTCTCAACGAAGAACATGGTAAAATTTGCAAATGACAATACTCTAGCAGTTGAAGATATTGGAGATGCTCTGATTATGAGGAAAGATGGCAATTGGTCAGTAATTTCAAACGTGTGGTACATACCAGGCATGGAGAGAAAATTTCTCAGCGAAAGGCAGTTGGTCGAAAAGAATTACTAAGTATTGGCCAAACACAAGATGATGAGATTCGTCGACGCGTGAGGAAGGTTAATCTTGAAGGCTCCTATGTCTCAGAATAAAACCTTCAAGGTTGAACTAAATGTGATGGAGCATAAATGCCTAGCAATTGCAGCTAACATAGATGAGTGGATATGGCATTATCGACTTGGTCATCTCAACTTCAAAGACATCAGAGATTTGAAGAGAAGAAACATGGTTTCAGGATTACCATAAGTCGACATTCCAAACAAAGTGTGTGAGGAATGTGTGCAGGCGAAGCAACACAAGAACAACTTCAACATGAATGCAGGAAGCAAGCAGAAGGCAATTCTTAAAGGCATATACTCTGATGTATATGGACCAATCCACGTGGATTTGATGAGAGGTAACAAATACTTTGTCACATTCATAGATGATTTTAGTCAAAAACTTTGGACTTACCTGATCAAGAAGAAAAGTGAAGTGATCGAGGTATTTTCTAAGTTTAAATTTATGGTCGAAAAGTAAAGTGGTCAAAATCTCAAAGTTGATAATTGATGGTGGAAAAGAGTATGTGTCGAAAGACTTCGATACATTATGTGAGGAATATGGGATTGTACATGAGGTGGTACTACCCTACACTCTACAGCAGAATGGAACTGCGAAAAGAAAGAATTGAACCATCATGAACATGGTGAAAAGTATGTTGAATGACAAGCATCGACCCAAAGAGTTATTGGGGGAAATTGTGTCGACAGCAACATATATTTTGAACAGACATCCGACGAATAAGCTAGAAAGAATTACTCCAGAAAAATGTCGGTATGGTGTTAAACCTAGCTTAAGTCATCTGAAAGTGTTTGAATCTATAGCACATAGACATGTGCCAGATTAGTTGAGAAGAAAACTCGATGACAAGTCGAGTTAAATGATCCTAGTTGGATATCATTCGACGAGAGATTACAAGTTGTTCGACCTAGTGAACAAGCAGATTGTGATAAGCAAGGACGTGATCATATATGAGCTTAAAGAATGGGATTGGACTGAAAATGTCAAGAAAGATTCAGTGATAATCTTACTTGAAGAACCAGAAACTCAAGTCGAAAGAGAAGTTCGACAAGAGGAAGTTAGAGATCAACCAGGTACAAGCAGACCTCAGAGAACAAGACACATGCCTGCAAGGTTGCAAGAATGTTTACATCAGATGATGTAGTTGATGATGAAGGTGAGCTGGTACATTATGCTTTCTGTGCAGATGTCTAACCAGTCAATGCAGCTGAAGCATTAAAGGATTCAAAGTGGGTGAAAGCAACAAATGAAGAAGTGAAGCCCATCAAAGACAAAAACACTTGGTCACTTATCGAATTTCCTCAAGGCAAGAAGGCAATCGATGTGAAGTGGGTATACAAGGTGAAGTTGAATCTCATAGGGGAAGTAACTCGACACAAGGCAAGACTTGTTGAAAAAGGATTTATTCAGAAGGAAGGAATCGACTTTGATGAAGTCTTTGCACCTGTGGCTAAAATCAAAATAACCAAGTTGGTTGTTGGTCTAGCAGAAATGAACAGTTGGCACATATGTCAATTGGACGTAAAGTATGCATTCCTGAATGGATCCTTAGATGCAGAAGTTTATGTTGCATAACCAGTTGGATTTGTGAAGCATACCAAAGAGAGAAATGTGTACAAACAAGCTCCAAGAGCTTGGAATAAGAAAATAGCTAGTTTTCTAAGGAAGAAGGAATTTGTGAAATGCACAACTGAACATGGAGTATATGTAAGAAGAAGCAATAGTGAATTGCTTATACTATGTCTCTATGTCAATGAATTGTTAATAACAGGTAGCTGTAAGAAAGAGATTGAAGACTTCAAAGGTGATCTCAACAAGGAATTCAAAATGTCGGATCTGGATAACATTTCATATTTCCTTGGCATCGAATTCTACAAGAATATTAGTGGTTTGATGATGCATCAAAGAAGATATGCAAGTGATATTCTCAAGAGATTTGAGATGGAAGAGTACAACTCGACTTCGACACCTACAGAACCAAGACTACAACTGTCGAAAGATGCAAATGAAGATGATGTTGATCCAATCCAATACAGAAGACTTATTGGGTCATTAAGATACCTCTGTCACACAAGGCCTGACTTAGCATACATTATAGGTATGGTAAGTAGATTCATGCAAAAACCAAAGGTACCACACCTAGCAGCGATGAAGAGGATACTGAGGTATTTGAAAGGAACTCTTGACTATGGCATTTCATTTCCTACAGTTGATACATGAAAAGAATGCAAGTTAGTAAGGTACGTTGATTCAAGTTGGTATAATGATGCTAAGGATCGAAAATCCACAACAAGATATGTGTTTATGCTAGGTGGTGCACCAGTTGCTTAGAGTTCGATAAAGGAACCAGTAGTGGTATTATAATTGTGCGAAGCAGACTACATATCTGCTTCTCTTTGTGCATGTCAAGCAACATAGATGATGAACTTGATCGAATAAATGACATGGAAAGATCATGGAGCAGTTACCATGAAGATCGACAACATGTCAACTATTAACTTGGCAAAGAATTTGATAGCACATGGTTGAAGCAAGCACATTAAGATGATGTTTCATTATCTTCGAGAGCAAGTAGTAGATGGGAAGATGAATTTGAAACACTGTAGAACTGAGAATCAGATTGCAGACATCATGACGAAGAGTGTGTAAGTCGAAGAGTTCAGAAGACTATGAATTATGATGAATGTAGATAGCTTAGACACAATGAATTAGGTGGTGTGTTGAAAGTATAATTTCTTGTGTCGAGCAACATGTTGTTTTCGACACAAGGAATTATACTTTCAACACACGTATGTTGAAATGGCATAAGCGTGTGTGTGTCGAATTGTTTATCGAGTTGTGTATGTCGAAGTGTTGACGCATGTTGCTTCATACATGATTTCGACTTAGGTCTAAAATAGGTATTTTGCCTTTTATAATTTTGGGATTTGGCTTAGGGAGCAAGTTAGCTCAATTATAAATAGATGGAGTAATTCCTATTTTGTAACAACTTAGAATTTGTATTCACAGAATTCGCAGTTGCAAGTGAAGAAAGATTTTTTACAATTTGCGGATAGAGAGAAACTATAATTTTTTTTCTTCTTTAATTCTTTTCATCGTTATTGTGTAGTGATAACAATTTTATTCATCTAGATTAATAGTAATTCTTCATAAGTTTTGATGGATTTCCAACAAACTTTCCAATAATTTAAAGACATTTTAGTCAATAATTTCTTAATTTGACCATATTTGAGATTCTTTGAATTAGGTTTACGTTGATCATATTTTAGTCAATGATAAAATAGATTTTTCATTTTAAGTTTTTGCTAATACCGATAGAAATATTAATACCTATAAAAAATTAAAAAATTAAAAGAAAAAACACATAAAAGGTACTAATTAATAAACTCATAAACCATAAGTCTCCCTAATCATTAATCATAAATGTGGAAAATAAATACTATTTCTCTAGTTCTCTTTTTCTCTTTATATTTAAGGGCAGAAACATATACAATAAAGCACATAGATATATAGAAATATACATACATGCTTGATATATATAAGAAAATATATATAGTGAAATTGGAAATGAAAAAATACCTTGAACTAGCATACTCAAAGAGCTTATTAGTTGCAGAAAAAACCAGAAGAGCTACATCTGCATCACAGAGAGTTGAAAGCTCCTGAGCTTTCTTGAAAAGCCCTTTCCTCCTCTTAGAGAAAGTCACTTGCCTTGAACTGATGTTGTCGATTTTCTTTATCTGTATCTTCTTTCGAGTCATGCTATTATTCCTCTCTCGATATATAAACATCAGCCAAATTAAACCATTACACATCTAAATAAAACATGAAAAAATAGTAGTGCATAGATCCAAGTGGATTCATTATTCAATATGAAATAAAGAAAGTTTCGATCTAGAAGAAGCACTCGAAAAAATATAACTGAGCACATAATAACTATACTTTATTTGAAGCTGTACCTTAAACTGCACTTACCTCAAAATTTAGGTTACTTTATGAACTATGCAGAGAGAGAGAGAGAGAAAGCGGAAGTTACAAGACGAAACCGAACTAGTTTATCTTATTGAGATTGGAAGGGAACTATTTATGATTCCCAAACGAGGTTTATTATTTTCTGCAAGTTGAGATTGAGATATACTAATAAAAATGATGTGAGGGTGAGGTTGTTTCCTTTCTTTTCATGGTCATGTTCCTGTCTTTGTTTCTTGTTTCCGTACGATACCATTTTTGTATTACCTTTTTCTAACTACTTTCCCTAAATACAAGTATATTACTACTCATATTATTTTATCTTATTAAAGTTGGATGGAATGAAGAGATTGGAACATGGGAATACAAAGAAAAATAGTTATAAATTTTTAAAAAATGTTGTCATAAAAATTAATGGCATGTCCTCACTCTAAAGTGATTCTTTTTTACATCTTCTACAATATAGGTTATCTTCTAAAAAAAATTGTACAAGGTACGTAGTTAGGATTAGATTAAACTTTGCTTCTCATTTATTTATTATATGTAATTTTAATTTTATTAGAATTTGACATAATGTGGTGTGGTTCGTTTAGTTTAGTTTGTTCTTAATGATAAAAAAAAAAAAAATTGTCAACAAATGTGAAAAAGGTAGGTACATTATAAGAAAAAGCAATATTAGTTTGGGGGTATTTGTGAGGTGTTATACCTCTCACTAAAATCAATATTATTTGGGAATATATCACTCGCAAACAACAAATCAGAAAATAAAATAAAAAATATTAATGGCGTGGGGATATCTGTCACTATCTATGAAGAGAGAATTTTGAATTTTAAAATTTTTACCCACTTTACATTTAGCGAGGGATAACACATCACAAAATTACATAGTGGTAATTGCTTGGGATATCCGCTCGCAAATTGCCACTAATGGCCAGACTGTCAAAATTTATTTTGTAATTTGCGAGGGGAAACCCCTAGGAAAATTAGAATGTTACATTTTCGTGGGGTTTCCCCTCGCAAATGACACTGATGTATAGTCAAATCAGCCTCATCGTGTGCAAACGTGCAAGTTTTGGGAATATAATTTACTTTTTGCGATGGGCAATCCATATCAATTTGTAATCGTTGGATTTGCCACGGACACCCCCACGCCATTTAATTTATATATCTTTATCTCTCCTTCTGTTTCTTCCATATAGTCATGTTTCCTCTATCTTTCCATTTCTTCATCTTCAACCCAACATCATAACAAGATTCTTCTCTCTATTTCTTTATCTTCAAATCCTTCATCTTCAAATCTTTCATCTTCATATATTTAAGGTATTTTTTTTATATGATTTTATATCTAATTTATATTATTTTGTTTATATAACATATTTATTAATAATTTTAATTTTCGATTTTTAATTTCAGGTTTTATTGTTATCATATAATAAAGCTACTGCAAGGAATTCAAATTTAGAGTGCTCATCTTCAAGGTACAAAAAAGTTATATTTTATTTATTTATTAAAATGAATTATTGTGATATAATTAGTGTGAAATATTTCTGTGAAATATTATTTATTTATAAAAAAATAGAATAATTAATTATTGTGATATAGCTGTTTAAATATAATTAGAAAATAATATAATTTTTTTTATAATTTATTTTACAAAAACAGAATAAATAACATATAAAAACTGTGTTTAACAATATTTTTGTGAAGTATTATAATTTTTTAAAAATAGTAATATAAAACTGTTTAAAAATAATAGTTAAAATAAGGAATTCAAGATCTTATTTTCCATTGGAATTCGGAAAAATTTAAGAAAATATCTGAAAAGGCAAAGAAAAATAGAGCATCTGAAGTTGGTGGTTGCAACTACACAGCGGGTAGTATTAGTGTTACTGAAGTTGCACGAAGGATGGTACGTAAACTTATTTGTTTTTTAATTAATTTATCATTTAGATTTTTGATTATATGTAAATAATTATTTTTTACTTATTTAATTAGCGTGAAGAGTTGGGTAGAACTCCACTTCTTAATGAGCTTCATCTAGAGACTCATCTCAAGAGAAATGGAGAGTTTGTTGACGAGCGGTCAAGAAACACTCAAGTAAGTTTTTCTTATATTTAAAATATTTTATTTATTTCTTTTATATGGACCTAAATTATTTGAATTATTATAACATTTAATTTTATTTGTAGGAGGAGTTTGATAAACAACTTGCCCTACAGTTGTCAGAGCATCCTGAACTTGGACCACCACTGGGATATCCTGTTGATACTGTGTTGGGTTTTCGGACATGGTATGATGTTTCAGGTGGAAAGAAGAAAAATTGGAGAGTATATGGTGTTGGAGGGTACGCTAAAACCATCGAGCAGCGTGATAGGAGTTTTAGAATGAGACTTGCTGATGGAGAAGGAACATCAACTTCACCTATATTAACCGCCGAAATGCTTGAAACTGTGAGAAACCTGGCGAATACTGAGGCAGCACTCCACGTAGCAACAAGAAATGCAGAAATTGAAGAGATGAAGAAAAAACAATTAGAGATGTAACAAAAAATGCAGAGAAGAGAAACAGAGTTGCGCGAAGAAATGGGGAGGCAAACACAAGAGTATTAAGAAGCAATGTGGATTACAAATGAGCGGGTTCAAAGATTTGATCAATTTTTTGCTTCGCAAAATTCCGGTGGTGGATTTGGAGAAACTAGTAGATATGGAGGAATTGTTGAAGAAGAAGAGCAAGAAGAAGAACAAGATGAACAAGAATATAATCGTTAAATTTGAAAATTTAATATTTATTTTAATTTGTATGAAAAAATTTATGTTAACTATTTTGAACTTAAGAACTTTACTTTAATTTGCATGAAGTTTTATTTTAATTTTTATTATATTTGATTGAATTTTAATTATTATATTTATTATGTTTAATTATATTTATTATATTAATTTTATTCTAATAATATAATTAATAGAATTATTATTATTGATTTTTATTTTATGAATATTAATTTTTTAAAAAAATATTTTTACAATTTGTCGGGAGATAAACTTCTGAAAAAACGCCAATGTCTGTATTTTATCAGAGGCTTAATCCGTCGTAAATGTAAAAGCATTTACATTTTATCAGGGGTTAAACTCTAAGCAAAATTTCAGACGCACTGTCACCTACCCTGTGCGCCTACGTTTGCATGTTGCAGACTATAAAATCCATGTTACATTTAGTAAAGGATAAAATCCCTGGCAAATTTTCCACGTATAAAACTCCTCGAAAATTTGTTTGCGACCCCCAGTTTTTCTAGGGGACCAGTCCCTCGCAAATTTTGCATTTGTGAGAGATTTTTGCCATTTATGAAGAGTTAAACCTCTGACAAATAACATTTTTTTTATAGTGGTAGAGTATAAGAATACTTTTTTACTTGAAATTAGTTTCTTAATAAGTCAACATTGAACTCATCCTCTTTCTTTAAGTATCTACCTAAATTCTAACTATATCCTATCTATGAATCAATAACACATCAAGAGTTCTAACATGTCTCGAAAGTGTTCAGTGTATTTTTTGATATTGTTTGTGGTTTTTATCTATTCATAGAAAATCTGAGTGTCTTACTCTAGTCTAATTTCTGTTGATTTTCCATATTTTGTTTTATTGTGATTTTATTTGTTTGTTTTTATTTTAATTTCTTAATTTTTGTCCTTCTTTATATATATATATATATATATATATATATATATATATATATATATATATATATATATATATATATATATATATATATATATATATATATATATATATATATATATATATATATATATATATATATATATATATATATATATATATATATATATATATATATATATATATATATATATATATATATATATATATATATATATATATATATATATATATATATATATATATATATATATATATATATATAATATGTTTCCATTAAAAATATAATTATTTTTAATTTGTTTATTTTTAATTTTAAAAATATTTTATGCGATATTTTTAGTCAAAGATATATTAGTACAAACTATTGAATATCAATAGTACTCGTTGTCATATCTAAAAATAGAAATAAAAAATTACAGCTAATAAAAATAAGACAAAAAAATTATATTAGAGGACATATATAATTAAAATATAAAAAAAGATAATCCTAATGATAATTAAGTATAAAAAAATATTCATCGATAATATAAAATAATTTTTTACTATCAACCAATCAACAGTGTATATTATATTAAATTACGCTTAGTTTTTAAAATTACATTGATGACATAATTAACTAATTAATTTTTATTGAATAATAGAATAAAATTATTATATATTGTTTGTGTACTATCATTAATCTCTTAAATAAAACTTAGAGATATTGGATTATTTTATAAAAGATAAAAATTAAAATAATTTTATTTTTTGTCAATTTCTATTGAATTTAGATGGAAAATTTTGCTAAATATATAAAAATATATATTGTTATGAGTATTAATAAGGTTATGTATCATAATAGTATTAATTAAGAAAGTAAGAAACAACTTTTAAATTTTTTGACAAGAAACAACTTTTAAATTGTATACACAGTCTTTCAATATGATATTTTTAAACTTATTTTTTTAACTAATGTGCATTCCCTAATTGTTTCTATAAAGTTATTATTATAAAAAAAATGTCAAAGTCTAAATATTTGATTTTTTAAAAAATATAACTTGTTATTCATAAATTATTTCGAAGGCACTCTTGCATGATATTATTATAAGATTTTTTTTGAATGTGTAAATATTTTTTA